CTTGAACTCCTGGGCTCAAGTGATCTGCCCACCTTGGCCTCCCAAAGTGCTGGGATTATAGGCATGAGCCACTGCATCTGGCCTGTTTTATTATTTTGTATTTTTAAATTCTTCCCAAAAACTCAAAAGGAAAATGTATCTTTAAAAGACCCAAATCTGGGCCTGGCACGGTGGCTCATGCCTGTAATCCCAGCATTTTGAGAGGCCCAAGGAGGGCGGATCACAGGGTCAGAAGATCAAGACCATCTTGGCCAACATGATGAAACCCTGTCTCTACTAAAATACAAAAAAAAAAAAAAAAAAAAAAATCCAGGCGTGGTGGCACGTGCCTGTAGTCCCAGCTACTTGGGAGCCTGAGGCAGGGGAATTGCTTGAACCTGGGAGGCAGAGGTTACAGTGAGCTGAGATGCGCCACTGCACTCCAGCCCGGTGACAGAACGAGACTCTGTCTCAAAAACGAAACAAAACACAAAAACAAGCAAACAAAAAACAAATCCTTTAGCCTACCAGTAATCTAAAGTGATAAGTTGCCAACTGTTCCACGCCAGGCTGGTCACATGCAGAACTAAATCCTGGGGGTGCTGCTCTTTCATCTGCCTCTTCGCACACATATTTCACAGATATGTTTGTAATTCATTCTCTTAAACACACTGTTGTCCTAAAAGTTAACTCAAAAAGAACAGTCTCACTCCTGATCACTGTATGCTGGCCTGGTTTATTGATCATCCCGATTCCTAGCCATCTGCAACACACCCTCCTTCATATTCTACCCTGTCTATCCATTCTTTATACTGTCGCAGACTGGTTTTTCTGACACAAGTATTTGGTATTTCCTTACTTAAAACTTTTCAAAATAAGATGTATGCATTATGAAATACTGCAACGCAATTCCTGTTTTTTTTTTTTTTTTGAGACGGAGTCTCAATCTGTTGCCCAGGCTGGAGTGCAGTAGCCTGATCTTGGCTCACTGCCACCTCCACCTCCTGGGCTCAAGTGATTCTCCTGCCTCAGCCTCACTAGTAGCTGGAATTACAGATGTGCCACCATGCCTGGCTAATTTTTGTATTTTTAGTAGAGACAGGGTTTCAACATGTTGGCCAGGCTGGTCCAAACTCCTGATCTCAAGGGATCCACCCACCTCAGTTTCCCAAAGTGATGGGATTACAGGCGTGAGCCACTGAGCCCAGTCGACAGTGCCATTCTTATGTGAGGCACCCAGAGTAAGCACAGACTCCACAGATTCAAGGGCATAGTTCCCAACTAGACCACCCTGACTTCAGATGCCAGCTACAAGTTCCAGAGGTCCCCAGGCCACCCACTCTTTCTTTTTTTCTTCTGTCTTTCTGTCTTTTTTTTTTTTTTTTGAGACAGAGTTTCACTCTTGTTACCCAGGCTGGAGTGTAATGGCACAGTCTTGGCTCACTGCAACCTCCGCCTCCCGAGTTCAAGCGATTCTCCTGCCTCAGCCTGCCGAGTAGCTGGGATTACAGGCATGTGCCACCACGCCTGACTAATTTTGTATTTTTAGTAGAGACCAGGTTTCTCCATGTTGGTCAGGCTGGTCTCGAACTCCTGACCGCAGGTGGTCCTTCCACCTCGGCCTCCCAAAGTGCTGGGATTGCGCGTGAGCCACCGCACCCAACCTCTCCTTCCTTCCTTCCTTCCTTCCTTCCTTCCTTCCTTCCTTCCTTCCTTCCTTCCTTTCTTTTTCTTTCTTTCTCTCTTTTCCTTGCTTCCTTCTTTCTTTTCTTTCTTTCTCTCTCTTTTCTTTTCTTTCTTTCTTTTTTTTTTGGCAGGGTCTTGCTCTGTCACCCAGGCTGGAGTGCACTGGCACAATCTCAGCTCACTGCAGCCTTGACCTCCTGGGCTCTTCCTGATCCTCATCTCACCCTCCCAAGTAGCTGGGACTACAGGCATGTGCCATGACACGTGGCTAATTTTTGGTATTTTTTGTAGAGATGGGGTTTCACCATGTTTCTCAGGCTGGTCTTAAACTCTCCTGAGCTCAAGAGATCCTCCCGCCTCAGCCTCCCAAAGTGCTGAGATTACAAGTGTGAGCCAGTGGCACCCAGTGGCTCAAGTGGCAACAAATTTGGGAGTTTCCATGGCACCCTCGGGTTCAATAATTCCCTAGAATGACTTGTAGAACTCAGGAGAGTGCTATATTTGCTATTATAGTTTTATTATAAAGGATACAAGCCAGGCACGGTGGCTCATGCCTGTAATCCTATCACTTTGGGAGGCCAAGGTGGGTGGATCACTTGAGGCCAGGAGTCGGAGACCAACACGGCGAAACCCCATCTCTACTAAAAATACAGACAATAGCCGGGCATAGTTGCGCATACTTGTAATCCCAGCTACTTGAGGCTGAGGCACAAGAATCCCTTGAGCCTGGGAGGCAGAGGTTGCAGCGAGCAGAGATTGTACCACTGCACTCCATCCTGGGCAATACAGCAAGACTGCCTAAAAAAAAAAAAAAAAAGATACCAATCAGGACCAGCCAATGACAGTTCTGAGAGGGTCCTGAATATGGAATTTCTGTGCCCTCTGAGAATCAGGATGCATGCTGTTGTGTTTACCGACCAGGAAGCTTGCTCAGCCTGTGTCTAGAGTTTTATTGGGGTTTCATGACATAGGAATGATGGACTGACTGAATTACTGGCACGTTATTCAATATGATCAAATTCAGCCTCTAGCTACCTTTACTCCCTAGAGGTCGGGCTGGCTAGAAACCCCTCCTCTCTAATCACAGAGTTGGTCTTTCTAGGCATCCGCCATCTGAATTATCTTGTTAGCATAAACTCAGGTGTAGGCCACCATGAATAACAAAGACACTCCTATCCTATCACTGGGGAAACTCCAAAGATTTAGAGTTTAACACCCGGGAAGAACCATTATTATTATTATTATTACTATTATTATTATTATTATTATCTTGAGACAGAATCTTGCTCTGTCACCCAGGCTGGAGTGCAGTGGCATGATCTCGGCTCACTGTAACCTCCGCCTCCCAGGTTCAAGCCATTCTCTTCCCTCAGTCTCCTGAGTAGCTGGGATTACAGGCGTGCACTACCACGCCCGGCTAATTTTTTGTATTTTTAGCAGAGGTGGGGTTTCACCATGTTAGCCAGGATGGTCTTGATCTCCTGACCTCGTGATTCCCCCGCCTCGGCCTCCCAAAGTGCTGGGATTACAGGCGTGAGCCACCGTGCCCAGCCGAACTAGGGACAAATTATTAAACCACCTATGACATCAGAGTTCTTCATGTCCGGATCCCAGACAGTCTTTGCAGGCCCCCAGCCTCTCCTATCACATTGCGGCCAGAGAACCCTTGAGGATCTTTGAACACACCTTGCTGTTTTATAACCTGGGACTTCTGTGCATGCTGCTTTCTCGGCCTATGTTTGTTTTCTCCTTCATCTGTCCCAGGGACTACTTCTCATTTGTAAGAGCCGGGTAAGTAGCTCCACTTCCTTGGATTCATCCAAAGGGGCAGAGTTAATCTCCACCTCCGCGGTGCTGGTAGTAATCCTTTGTTCATTTATAGATCATCTTTGCACTTAACTCTTCAGGCAGACTTGTTTGTTGAGATGTCCGTATGTACCTTTGACACATAGCGTATGGCCTTTGCTGAATATGCTTTGAGTAGAACCTTGCCTTTATTATCTGAAGTTGTATTTGTCTGCTTTTTTTTTTTTTTTTTTTTTTTTGAGATGGAGTTTCACTCTTCTTGCTCAGGGTGGAGTGCAATGGTGCAATCTCAGCTCGCTGCAACTTTTGCCTTCCGGGTTCAAACGATTCTCCTGCCTCAGCCTCCTGAGTAGCTGGGATTACAGGCGCCCACCACCACACCTGGCTAATTTTTGTATTATTAGTAGAGACGGGATTTCACCAGGTTGGTCAGGCTGGTCTCGAACTCCTGACCTCAGGTAATCCTCCCACCTTGGCCTCCCAAAGTGCTGGGATTACAGGCGTGAGCCACTGCACCCAGACATATTTATCTTTTTAGAAAGTGTCATTGTGCCCCTCTTGATTGCTTTTTTCACACCTCATTCCTCATGCTCCAGTGAAATGGCTGTTCGTCATCAACAATGTCTTGGCTGCTGGTGGACAAGCTACAACTTAAAATCCTATGGTTGGCAGGGCACAGTAGCTCACACCTGTAATGCCAGCACTTTGAGAGGCAGAGGTGGGTGGATCCCTTGAGGTCAGGAGTTTGAGACCAGCATGGCCAACATGGTGAAACCTCCTCTCTACTAAAAATACAAAAATTAGCTGGGCATGGTGGTGGGTTTCTGTAATCCCAGCTATTTGGGAGACTGAGGGAGGAGTATCACTTAAACCCGGAAAGCGGAGGTGGCAGTGAGCTGAGATCCGGCCACTGCACTCCAGCCTGGGTGACAGAGCAAGACTCTGTCTCAAAAAATAAAATAAAATAAAATCCTATGGTTGACAATCCTGACCAGCCAGTTCACAGTTTGGAGAACTCATAGATAACACTGATGAGATGACATAAGAGGTGAGGTTTGCTAAATACCTAGCTACAGGGAGTCATTAAGTATATTGTAATTCCATCCATTGAATGAAATATTATGCATCCTTTCAATGCTATTCCTCATTGAAAGGAATGGCAAAAACCACACGAAAACCGCACTTACTTTTGTACCAATCTAATAATACATGTTTATGAGGTTTGTAATAAAACAGAAATGCTTTTGTATAACATTAAGAGAAAGAGCAATCACAACTATGATGAAAAAAATTATCCATGATCTAAGATACAGGAAAAACGTAAAAGAAAGAAAGACCTGTAATCCCAGCTACTCAGGAGGCTGAAGCAGGAGGATTGCTTGAACCCATGGATTTGAGGCTGCAATGCACTATGATCGTACCATGGCACTCCAGCTTGGGCAACAGAGCAAGACTCCATCTCTAAGAAAACAAAACAAAGCCTGGGCAACAAAATGAGACCCCATCTCTACAAAAAATTTAAAAATTACCTGATATGATGATGTGCGCCTGTCGTCCCAGCTACACGGGAGGCTGAGACAGGAAGATCCCTTGAGCCTAGGAGGCTGAGGCTGCAGTGAGCTGTGATCTCACCATTGCTTTCCAGCCTGGGGGACAGAAGGAGACTTGTCTGAATAATTAAAAATGTAAAATAAAATAAAATATAAAACAAAACAAACTCCAAAATAATATTTGTCTTTATTTTGGGTAATGGAAACATGGGTGATCATTCCCATCTTTTTTATACTTTTCTGTGTTGAAAACTTTTCTTGCATCATGCTTAAAATGGTAGGAGAGAATAGTTCCTCTCTGTATTCCTAAATAAATAGGCAAAAGGTGAAAACAAATTTAATATGGATACTTTCCCCTGTAACTGGAAATTTACAGGTGAAAAAATTCACACTTTCACTCTCTTTGGCAATGAGAGGAGGCAATGAAGAGAGGTGCAGATGTTAATACAAGGGGGAAGATAGGAACCAGCCAACACCTCTGACCACACTTTAAAAATGGGCACCCACAAGCCAGGAGAATTGCCAGAGAGACAAACATCAACAAGATTAAGGAAATTTTAAATGAAGACTGGGACCAAGCCAGTTCTTAAAATGTCATTTTTCTAGTCAAAGAAAGGCAGCCTGAACAGTGGTGATTTAACTATTTGCCTATTTGTAAATTAGTTTTTAAAAAAGAGGTTTGTGTTGTTTCGTTGATCTCTTTCCCTATCAACATAACACAAAACCTATCACTTTCTGGAAGAGCTATAATCACAACGAAAGCTGAAAATTGTTTCAGAGCATCTTGGGAAGAAGTGCTAGTTTAAGAGTGAGCTACCGAAGAAGATTGATTTAATCTTTTAAAACTCTGGTTAGGGCCAGGCGCAGTGGCTCATGCCTGTAATCCCAGCACTTTGGGAGGCCGAGGTGGGCAGATCACCTGAGGTCGGGAGTTTGAGACCAGCCTACCTACATGGAGAAACCCCATCTCTACTAAAAATACAAAATTAGCCAGGATTGGTGGCGCATGCCTGTAATCCCAGCTACTTGGGAAGGCTGAGGCAGGAGAATCGCTTGAACATGGGAGGTGGAGGCTGCAGTGAGCTGAGGTTGTGCCATTGCACTCCAGCCTGGGCAACAAGAGCAAAACTGTGTCTCAAAAAAAAATAAAAAATAAAAAATAAAAAATAAAAAAAATAAATAAAACTCTGGTTAAAGTCACTCTTATCCAAGGCTCTTAAAAATGTACCCCAGCCTCCATTTAGGACAGTAAACCCAAGCAGGGTTCTCTTAATGATTATTCTAGACTACAGTATAGTTATTAAGTGTTATTGGTGTCCCTCTTCTCTATTTTCTGCATAACTTTACATATTTTAGCAGGTTCTGGAGTGCGTGAATTGTGAGTTAGGCATAAATAGGCTGGTTAACTATGACTGAAGATCTGTTACTTGGGATTGTGTCCACATATTGAGACATTTCCAACCTGAGACCCCCATAACCCCAAAACAAAACAAAATAAAATAAAACAGAAAAAAGATCACACCAGTGAAGTGGCTCAGGCTGTTTGATTTCCTTGCTGATATTTCTGATTTCCAAAGGGCACATTTCCTTTCATTTGACTTCATAGGAACTACCAGAAAATTCCTTAAGATTGATGGAGTTGATAGACCTGTTTCTCCGGTTTTCTTGATCAGTGAGTGAGGATTCTTTCCCTCTTCAGATGAATGGAGTTTGTTTATACATGTTCTGAGTAGACCATTTTAAAAGTGTCATTTGTCATTCAAACTATCAACAATTGGAGTATCCTCAGGTTCTGAGATTGTGACTTTGAGTGTGGAAATGGTATCATTTATTCATTCACTCGTTCATTCTGTATCATTTAGGACTCTTGGTAGCAAGTGACAGAATTTGTTTACTGAAATGTGAAATGTATTATAAGGATATTGGGCTGTTTCCTAGAACCCAAGCCTAGGAATGAGGCTGAGCTCCAGGGAGAATTAGAATTTGAGTTCCAAAACCCTGGGCCCGTCCTGTCCAGCTCACTCCTGGTTTTATCTTCTCTCCACAGGCAGTTTACTCTGCATCTCTACTCCTGGACTATTATATCTTGCAGTCTACACACAAAGACAGATAACTTTTTCCTTTTCAGTTCTAGTTTCAAAATTCATGGAAAAGAACTTTGCTTGGCCTGGCTTGGGTCAGAGCTGGGTTGAGCACCTATCAACTAAGGACATGACTGAGCTAGGTCACGCACTTATCCTAACCCGTCAGATGGGGCTGGGACAGCCAGACCACATTGTACCGACAAGACTTCTTGTGGATTCAGAAAGGAGCCTGCCAACTAAACTAAACTAAACTAAACATGTTCACTACCTATTCCTTTTTCTTTTTTTAGTTTTATTTAAAAAATGATAGAGATGCGGTTTCACTATATTGCCCAGGCTGGTCTCGAACTTCTTGGCTCAAGCAATCCAACTGCCTCAGCCTCCCAAAGTGCTAGGATTATAGGCATGAGACACCATGGCTGGCCCCCTATTCCTTTTCTATAATATCCTTTTCCAAAAGTGAGTGGGAATTATATATGCAGTATTTTGCCAACGAACAAGTACTGACTATCTACCTATTTTGTATCTAGCTGCCTCTTGCCGATCCTTTTGTTCATATCATGTCTTCTGGAATGACCTAAAGGCTGTTTTCTATAGTTTTTAGCTCTCACTCATACCCACCTCTTTTCCGTTCCTTTTTTTTTACCTTTTCTTTTTTTTGAGACAGGGTCTCGATTTGTTGTCCAGGCTGGAGTGCAGTGGTGCGATCATGGCTCACTGCAGCCTTGATCTCCTGGGCTCAAGAAATTCTCCTGCCTCAGCCTCCTGAGTAGCTGGGACCACAGGTATGCACCACCATGCCTGGCTAATTTTTAAATTTTTCTGTAGAAACGGTATCTCACTTTGTTGCCCAGGCTGGTCTCAAACACTTTATCCTCCCACCTTGGCCTCCCAAAGTGTTGGCATTACAGGCATGAGCCACTGCACCCAGCCTCTCGTTTGTTTTTTTTTCTGGACAGACTAGCTGCCTGCTTTACTTTTTTTTTTTTTTTTTTTTTTGAGACGGAGTCTCGCTCTGTCACCCAGGCTGGAGTCCAGTGGCCGGATCTCAGCTCACTGCAAGCTCCGCCTCCCGGGTTTACGCCATTCTCCTGCCTCAGCCTCCCGAGTAGCTGGGACTACAGGCGCCCGCCACCTCACCCGGCTAGTTTTCTGTATCTTTTTAGTAGAGACGGGGTTTCACCGTGTTAGCCAGGATGGTCTCGATCTCCTGACCTCGTGATCCACCCGTCTCGGCCTCCCAAAGTGCTGGGATTACAGGCTTGAGCCACCACGCCCGGCCTAAGTTGTTCTTGTGAGAAGGGTCTCCTGAGCAACATTCTCTTATACATTTGTAAGTACACAATATACCTAAATACCCAGATTCCTTCGTATTACAGAAACATTATTATGGTTTTAATTTCTTAAAACTTCCATATTAATTCTTACTTTTCTGGGGTGGAAAGATAGGAGGCATTGGGATAGACTATTTCCATCCCAGTTACCTGAAGTGATCTGCTGAGAGAGACAAATGCTGCCCCAATTAATTGAGGTAACTTAGAGTCAAAGATTTTGGTAGAACCTGAGATTTAAAGTTGAAGACATGCAGGAATTACTGCCCCTATTGTCATACTAAGCTCCTTTTTGTAAGAACTCTGCCAGGGACTTCAAAGCTTTAAGGGTGTCTATTTTGGACTCATAGAACCTAATTCTTATGCAGGTCTGCAGCCTTCGTTAGAGTCTATCAATTCCTTGATTAGATTATTACATTTGCATCTCTGGTTTCTAATGTATTTCCTATCTAATACAGATCTTTAACTCCCTGGGATCCTAATAAATATATCTTCATTTACCTACCTATTTTCTCTTGCAAATACTTCAGTATATATCTCTAATATATAAGAACTTTAAAAAGTCATCTCAGGCTGGGTGCGGTGGCTCAGGCACAGGCACCCAACACTTTGGGAGGCTGAGGGGGGCAGATCGCTTGAGCCCAGGAGTTTGAGACCAGCCTGGGCAACATGGTGAAACCCTGCCTCTACCTGAAAAAAAAAAAAAAAAAAAATTTGCCAGACATGGTGGTGTAGCCTGTGGTCCCAGCCACTTGGGAGGCTGAGGTGAGGGGATTGCTTGAATCAAGGAGTTTGAGGCTGTAATGAACAGAGATCGCACCACTGCACTCCAGCCTGGGCGACAGAGGGAGACCTTGTCTCAAAATAAATACATAAAGGTCACCTCAGTGATATCAGTACCTTAGTAATTCTAACAGAATTCACAAGAATTACTTACGAATTGCTTGTACTCTGCGTACCTTCTTATTTCTCCATCTATCTTAAAAAGGTCTTTTTTTTTTTTTTTTGAGACGGAGTCTCGCTCTGTCGCCCAGACTGGAGCGCAGTGGCGCGATCTCGGCTCACTGCAAGCTCCGCCTCCCGGGTTCACGCCATTCTCCTGCCTCAGCCTCCGGAGTAGCTGGGACTACAGGCGCCCGCCACCACGCCCGGCTAATTTCTTTTTGTATTTTTAGTAGAGACGGGGTTTCACCGTGTTAGCCAGGATGGTCTCGATCTCCTGACCTCGTGATCCGCCCGCCTCGGCCTCCCAAAGTGCTGGGATTACAGGCTTGAGCCACCGCGCCCGGCCTTAAAAAGGTCTTTTTACAGTTTGTCCAATCAGAATCATAATGAGGTGAGGCCAAAGATACATTGCATTTGCTTGATGTGTCTGTAAGATCTTCGTATCTATTACAATCTCCTGCGCTCTTAAAGCCATTGATATGTGAAGGAAGCACGGTTGTTTTCTGTAATTTCCCACATTCTAAATTTGGCTAATTGTTTCTTGGTGGTACAAAGTCTTCTAAGTTGTTCCTTTATTCTCTATATTTCTGGTAGCAGGTGTGATTAGATTTTCGGTGGGGGGAACCAGGGTCAAGAATGCTTCATAGACAGGTATTTTATAA